GTTGAGCAAAAAAAACCCCACAACCACACACAAAAAAAGAGTCACTGCGCCTTTAAATCCCCACCAGGCATGGCAGGGGAAGAATGTCCCATGCGGCCTTCTGTCCGAGAAAAACAGAAAATACCAGACGTTTTACATGTCCGGTATTTTCTGATTTTTTTAACTGGACAGAAGCTGCAAATACCAGACTGTCCGGGCCAGTACTGGCAACCCTAGCAGCTCAGGGAGAGACAGACAAAGAGAACTGGCTAGGACTGGTGAGAAAAGTAGGTATCAGTCTTGTGGGGGGAAATCCTACCTCCCCCCACTGTGCTTCGCCCCAGCCCTTGCCTCATGCCAGAGACCAACTCTGGCCTCCACCCCGCTGTGCTCTTGCCCTCAGCCCTGCCTCACTCCAGCCGGGGATCAGCCTTCCCCCGCCCTTGCCCTTGGCCACTGCCTTCTGTTTGTTTTTAACCTGCCACCTATTAATTTAATTTGGTGACCCCGAATTCTTGTTTCAGATAAGTAATTTGCATATTTACATAGCAAATATTAGTGTGAATAACTTATACACTGCGTGTAGCTATTGTTAATAAAACCTGTGCAGCTATGTGCTGGGTCAAAGACAACTTCTGTGTCGGTCTCCTGTTTTTTACAATCATTCCCCCGGGTGGAGCACAAATAATTTTGGCACCAGGGCCCTAAAAAAAATAATCTGGTCCTGCTGTGAAGCACTTTTCCAAAGTTCTCAGAAGAGTCCAGTCTTTGCCGTGATATGTGCTTAAAGCTCCCAATATGTCTCTTGCCACAGGCCTGTTCCTCCTACACACCTTTTACTTCCTGCTTGCTGTATCCATGCCTTCAATGCCAAGTTTTAATTAAAAAAACAAAATCTAACTAAAATGGCCTGATATCTTATTCATGTTCAGGAACATGGGGAATGATTGTCAAAAGCACTGAAAGTCAATGAGAACCCAGCACCTGCATGCCCTTGAATACCTCCCTATAAGATTGTCTCCAGTGGTGACCACCTCTGATGTGTCATAAAAACATAAGAATAGTTCTACTGGGTCAGACCAAAGGTCCATCTAGCCCAGTATCCTGTCTGCTGACAGTGGCCAATGCCAGGTGCCCCAGAAGGAATTAACAAAACAGGCAATCATAAAATGATTCTTCCCATCACCCATTCCCAGCCTCTGACAAACAGAAGCTATGGACACCATTCCTACGAATCCTGGCTAATAGATATACCTACCTTCCATGAATTTATCTAGCTCTTTTTTTAGCCCTATTCAAGTCCTGGTCTTCACAACATCCTCTGGCAAGGAATTTCATAGGGTGACTGTGCACTGTGTGAAGAAATACTTCCTTCTGTTTGTTTTAAACCTGCCACCTATTAATTTCATTTGGTGACCCCGAATTCTTGTGTTATGGGAACAAGTAAATAACGTTTCCTTATTCACTTTCTCCACGCCTGTCATTTTATAAATCTCTATCGTATCCCCCCATAGAGTGCGTCTACATAGCACCCTACACTTGAAATAAGATATGCCATTTGCACTACACAACTTGCGTATCTTATTTCAAATCTATTTCGAAATAGCTTATTTTGAAATTTGGCGCATCTACACAGCACCAAACGTCAAAATAACGCGCTATTTCGAGCCATCCCTTATCCCTTGTTCAACAAGGATGACCGGGATGACGAAATAACATGCCCATTATTTTGAAAAATATTTCAAAATAATGGACGGCTTGTGTAGAGTATCCCGAAATAGCTGTGCAGTGTAGACATACCCTTAGTCTCCTTTTTTCTAAACTGAAAAGTCCCCGTCTTTTTAATCTCTTCTCATATGGCAGCCGTCCCAAACCCCTAAACATTTTTGTTGCCCTTTTCTGAACTTTTTCCAATGCCAAGATATCTTTTTTTGAGATGAGGCGACCACATCTGTATGTAGGATTCAAGATGTGGGCGCAGCATGGATTTAGGAAGGTAAAACCTCTCTTGACTGAAACTGGCCAACCATCCAGAGTTGCAGCTTGCAGAACTCCTTCCTGGCCTCAGCAGAAGTTCAGCAGACATGCTTGAAGCACGAGATTTGAGCATTTTTATCTTGGCATAGAACAAAAATAATCACTCCCAGTAGATTTCTGACATCCACTGCCCTCTCTGTGGAGATCTGACAGTGCTGGAGGGAACAGGCAATAAAACTGATGCCCACGTAATGGGGACCAGGAAGAGCACATTAGACTAGGGAAGCGAGATTTTGCTCAGCCGTAAACATGTGGAAGAAACACATTGTAACTCGGGATATTCTTCATTTGCTCTTTACTATCTGTGTTGTGGGCCAAGATTCTCAGCTAGTGTCAAGGAACAGCAGAGTTTCACTGACTTCAGTGAAAGTAGGCTGACTGGCAGCAGATGAGGAGCCGGTGCTGAGCACTTAGCAATAAACAGCCCCGGATCCCACAAGAGCCAGGTATTCCTCCATCAGTTCCATTTCTGGTTGTTTAGAAGTGTGCGTCTGCATCGGAAACAGGCAGAGCAACACTTCCTGAAGCCAAAGCAGGGCCATTTGTGGATTTGTTCCTCTGGAATAAAGTTAATTTGCAGTGGATCTCTCTCGTTTACCCTAGCACCCCCAGGAGAGGCTTGGCTAATGGGCCAGGTGGAAAGTTGGTTTTTGAGAGTCTGCATTTCGTCAGGTTTGTATTCAGCAGGGAGTTGAGCTGAGAGATTGCCAGATGCTTTTCTGCAGTCATGCTCCCCCAAGGCTGTAAGCTTGTTAGTGATCTGAGCAAAGAGGGTGAGGTCAGAGCCATATGTTGTTGAAGACAGTGCTGTACAGCTTGTGCTGTACAGCCCCTTTTGAATTCTAGGCCCTATAGGGTGTATAGAGGACTGTGGACAAGCAGCTTTTTGCAGGACAGGACACGTTCTGTAAAGCACTGTGTGAATTTATGGTGCAGTTATGTAACCATATTTATTATATTATTACTGTTAATTGTACTTGGAAGGGAGACCTTGCAAAAGACCCAGGCTGCTACCAAGGCTGTGAAGCTAGCATTCCCTTGGGGTTACAACTCAACCACACGCCAGGAAGATGTTGGGTGGGTGGGTGTGCGTTGGGCTGCTAAGAATGCCACCTCTGATAAGAGGTAAATTTAAGGATCACTTGTGGTCATGAAAGGCCTCATTTCATAAGAGTTAGGGATATTAGCCTATGTCCTGACCAGATTTTTTCTTTGACTCATTACATTTACCCAATCTGAAAACCCTCTCCAGTTACAAGAAGATATGCTAATCGATTTCCTCTGACTTGTGCAGTGTTAGCCAGGTCCCATTAAACACCTGCCTCATTTTACTCCAAGCACCCTGAAATGTCCCCTTGAACTGGCCAGAAAAATAGAAAGTTTCCTCAGGAAATTTCAACTTTTCAGTAGGGAAAAAAATTCAAAACTTTTCAATTTGGAAATGGCGTTGCAATCCCTCATAGGAGTTGTAGTCTGATTACTTCTTGTCCACACTCTCTTCTATGGGCCAGACTACATTTCCCATAATGCTTCACAGTCTCTCTGATGTTGAGGAGGAGGCAATGCATTGTGGGAGTCCCAGTCCCAGATACATAATGACAGCATGAGGCAGCTAAACAACCATTCCCTTGAGTCACTGCTAGGGCAAATCTGAATCAAAATACAGTAAAACCTATGTTATCCGACATGCTCAGGGATTACGGCATTCCGGTTATCTAAAAATTCCAGTTATCTGAGGGTCCCATCAACCTAGGAAAAACCAATGGACAATAATAGTAAAACTCAAGTTTTTAATATTGGTAGTTTTGTAGTGTGAGGCAGTTGGTCTCACATTTCTATTTTGAGTTAAAGATGATTAGTACTTCTTAAATAAAAAATTGTTAAGCCAATCATGGTAAACCAAGCCAGGCCTGTGCACCTGAAGATGTGACAGTATTGTGGCTGGGAGCAATGCTGGTTAACAAAGTTTTCTGGTTAACAGAGTGCCAGATAACAAAGGTTTCATTTTATTTCCGTTTTCAAGCTTTGAGCTATTTTTTCATTTAAACCCCAATTTTTTTCCATGGAAAACTGGCATTTGTTCAATCAAAAACCTGTTTCATCTTATAAAAATTGATGGACAATTTTTCACTAGTCCTACTGTTTGTTATTTCTAAAATGCTTTGAACAAGAAAGCACTGTGTGTAAATTGAAAATACGTATTAATAGGCATATACTGCTTTACAACAGTCGAGGGTCTTGCTCATTAGCTGGATATTTTTGTTAGTGATTAGCAGAGAACACGCTAATAATACAGATATGTAAATTATCCTCTTAAGGTTTCAAAATTGAACATTCCCTTGACAAATGAGGGTAGCTGACAACTCAGAGGTATTGTTACAGGCTGTTTCAAATTCAAGACAACTCTGCATCATGTTATGGAGGGTACGCCTACACTTGCTCCCTAGTTCGAGCTAGGGATGCAAATGTAGTCGACCAAAATTGCTCGAAAGTGGGGATTTAAATGTCCTGCGCTTCATTAGCATAATTTTGCCTGTGCGTTATTCCGCTCAGCAGCTAATTTGAACCAGGTAGTGCGCTCTGGGATGCGTTAGTTCGAACCAAGGGGTTTGATTCGAACTAACGCATCCCGGAACGCACTTCCTGGTTCGAATCAGCTGTTGAGCGGAATAACACGCGGGCGAGATTATGCTAATGAAGCATGGGATATTTAAATCCCTGCTTCATTAGCAATTTCGGTCAGCTACATTTGCATCCTTAGCTCGAACTAGGGAGCAAGTGTAGACGTACCCTAAGTCTTCCCAAACATCAGAACTTGATTTTTTTTTAATTGAAAGCTGAGATTTGGGAGTACAATTCTGCAGTGGGTAGTGGTTTCTGCAGAGAATTTTGCATTTGTGTAGGCTTGGAATCCATGAAATGCTATATGTATGGTGATGATATATTTACAATGAATGTAAATATGTTCATTCTTCCTTTCCCAGGTGGAGGCCAAGAGAGTACAGGCCAATGTAGAAAACCGAATCCTGATGATGGCATCAGACAGTCACAAACACAAAGGGAGGGTGATCTATCTTGCGGTAAAACTCAGCATGAACCAAATTAATACCTAAAAATCAAACTGTCTTTGACAGGGGCTGTCACAGAGGTACCCTTTGGATTGTCACCCAATATGCTGATCATGCCACTGAGTCTGCATATCTGCCCATTCGGGCACCCCACCACCCTGTCCTGCCAGGCCAGAAACTCTGATCTCCCCCAGTCAAGGCACAGAATTGAGTCAACAGCCCCCAGCAGAGCAACACAGCTGTTGAACCAGCTCTAAAAACGGACCAAACCTCCAAATAAATCCACCTCACTTTGTATAAAAGTTTTACACAGAGAAAGCTCATAAGTTTTCTCTCTTTATCAAGGAAAGAGAAATATCCACATCTGTTGTCCCGCCCCCCCCCCACCCCCACCACCACCCCCACAGCCCACCACCACCACCACCACAGGTAACTGGGCTTGATAATACACGCAAAAGTGTTTTTAATAAGTATGAAAAATAGGATTTATGTGATTGCAAAAGAAAACAGTCAGATCAAATTACATTACTAAGCCAAAATAAACAAAACATGCCTAATGCCCTAAGACATTTATTATATGCAAATTCTTACCCTAACAGTTGTTCTAATAATCTCTTACACAAGCTAGGCAGCCTCCTAGCTTGGACCCACGCAAAAGTGTTTTTAATAAGTATGAAAAATAGGATTTATGTGATTGCAAAAGAAAACAGTCAGATCAAATTACATTACTAAGCCAAAATAAACAAAACATGCCTAATGCCCTAAGACATTTATTATATGCAAATTCTTACCCTAACAGTTGTTCTAATAATCTCTTACACAAGCTAGGCAGCCTCCTAGCTTGGACCTAATCTTCCCCCTGTTCGGTTTTAGATGATTTCAGGAGACATCTTGGGTGGTAAGAGGGAGTCTCTTGACATCTGACATCCCCCATTGTTTGGTTCCCCACGGCTACCTCTCTGTTGTCCAAGGCAGAAAATCTTTGTGTTCAGTTCAAACTTCTCACCTTGAGTGGAAAAGTACAAGATCCAAATGGGTCCGAACCCATTTGACCACATGTCTTTGTAGGACCAACCACAATTTGGGCTTACAGAAAAAATAAACCCATTTGCAGATCATTGTCTTGAGCACCAAGCTATTATGTCTTTGGATTATTACCAATGGCCTTCATTAGCACCTCTCGAATTATGGGCAGATCAACATTTCATATTTCTAACTTCACATACAAGAATGATACATGCACAGATTGTAACTTTAAAAATGATGTCCCGTGATCCATTTTGACTAAAGTATCCTTGAGTTATGCATATTCATAAGCTGGTTTTCATAAAGCATGGGGCGGGGGTTGTGACACTGTCTTCAGTATGGGAGTCCTGTGGCACCTTATAGACTAACAGATTTATTGGAGCATAAGCTTTCGTGGGCAAAGACCCCACTTCATCACTTGCTTCTGACAAAGTGGGTCTTTGCCCACAAATGCTTATGCTCCAATAAATCTGTTAGTCTATAAGGTTCCACAGGACTCCTTGTCGCTTTTGCAGATCCAGACTAACAGGGCTACCCCTCTGATACTTGTCTTCAGTATGGTGGATCTTGAAACAAGAGCCACTGTATCACATAGGACCCAGAGACACTGTCTGTACAGCAGTTATTTTGAAATAAAATGCTATTCCACTGACTTTCTTAATCCTCATACATTGAGCTTTAAAGGAAGTCGGAGTAAGAACCCTGTTATTTCAAATTTATTTCAAAATAATGGGCTTCTTCTGTCGACAGAGCATAACGTTATTTCAGAATAACAGATGTTATTCCAAAATAACTGCCGTGTAGATGTACCCTTACAAACTAACATGGCTACCCCTCAGTAGCCCAGGATCTGCTTGGAAAGAGGGAGGGCACTTTTGGGGAAAGTGTGTCAGGTCTTGAAACCATGTGTGTGACAAAGATCAGTGACTGCAATGTGTGCATGTGTGTGTGTCCTCCCCACCCAGAAAGTGGTCAAGAACTCAAGAGAGGAGGTGAACCAAAGCTTTGTGGAGATTATAAAGGAGATCAAACGAATGCAGGTGAAGGTGCTGGAGTTTTTGGACAAGGAGGAGAGAGCTGCCCTGGTCCAGCTGGGCAATTCCATTCAGCAAAAGCAAGGGAACCTCTCTGAGCTCAACAAGCAGAACCTCTGGCTTACAAACCTCCTTGACAATACAAGTGACCAACAGTTCCTACAGGTAGAGTTCCCCCCTCCACCAAAGTTCCCATTCATTTTTTTCTATCCAGGTGTGGAATAAATGTTGTTATGTGCACTGAGGCATGTGTGAATGTGCACCACTTGTAGAAACATATGCTGCCAGCTATGGGCTCTCTGCTGATCAGCTGGGCAGCATTTGAATCTTTCCTGGGTGGCTGCCAAAGCACTCAACTTACAGGGAAAACTGCCCTTCAACCTGTGACCAGTCAACTTCAGTCATCAGTACAGCCCAGTTGTCCTTGTATGAGAGGTCTGCCCCATGCTTAGCATGCTCCCTGCAGTTACTTCAACTACAGGGAAGAAGTAGAATAGTGGTGAATTTCATATACCAATGTTTGGGGCATAGAGGCTATAGCTGAAGTAGCTGAGGAGGGCTTAGCAGCCAGGGGAGCTGACAGCCTCACTGGGCCCAGGGGCAAGGTAGTGGGGACTGGCTCTGTGCTCCCAGAAGAGGTAGGCCTCAGGCAGAAGAGATAGGGGCAGGCAGCTCTCAGAGCAGCACCTCCTCCCTCCAGCCCTCAGAGCCTTCCAGAGCACTCTGTGCAGAACTCCGGTGGTGATTTAAAGGACCCAGGGCTCCCGCCACCATCACTGCTGCAGTAGCAGCGGCAGCAAACAGGAGTCTCAAGCCCTTTTAAATTGCTGGGCCCTGGAGCAATTGTCCCCACTTCCCCATCGGCAGGCTTGCTCACGGTCTACTTCCCTGTATCATTCCTCACAGCTGTCTGTTGGAGAGGCTGGGGGTATTCCCAGGGTGGGGGGACATACAGGCTGTGTCTAGACTACATGTCTCTGTCGGCAGAGGCATGTAGATTAGACACATAGGCAAAGGGAAATGAAGCCGCGATTTAAATGATCGCGGCTTCATTTACATTTACATGGCTGCCGCGCTGAGCCGACAAACAGCTGATCAGCTGTTTGTCGGCTCAGCGCGGCAGCCATGTAAATGTAAATGAAGCCGCGATTTAAATGATCGCGGCTTCATTTACATTTACATGGCTGCCGCGCTGAGCCGACAAACAGCTGATCAGCTGTTTGTCGGCTCAGCGCGGCAGCCATGTAAATGTAAATGAAGCCGCGATTTAAATGATCGCGGCTTCATTTACATTTACATGGCTGCCGCGCTGAGCCGACAAACAGCTGATCAGCTGTTTGTCGGCTCAGCGCGGCAGCCATGTAAATGTAAATGAAGCCGCGATTTAAATGATCGCGGCTTCATTTACATTTACATGGCTGCCGCGCTGAGCCGACAAACAGCTGATCAGCTGTTTGTCGGCTCAGCGCGGCAGCCATGTAAATGTAAATGAAGCCGCGATTTAAATGATCGCGGCTTTATTTCCCTTTTCCAAAACAACAAATCTACATGGCTCCGTCGATGGAGCCATGTAGTCTAGACGTACCCACACACAGTAGCTTGAAGAGCACCAGCATGCTAAAAACCATCGAGCTGTAGCAGCGCAAGTGGCAGGCTGGGCTGGCTGCCCTGTGTACATGCCTGGGGTTGCAGAGGGGAGAGGTTCACAGGAAGCCCATCCCTGCCACAGCTTTACCACTAACTCAGTGAGAGTGAGCATGAATGTGTCTCTGAGCTGGGAATCGTGCCCCTGCCTTGAGGTGTGGACATACCCTACGATTAGAGTAGCTGTGAACACCCGGTAGCCATTCCTAGTGCACCAAGTTTTATGTATCATTTTCACTTTATCAGCTAAGGAAACAGGACTATGTGGAGGAATAACATAAGGGGACATATTATCATAGGCAACAGTTATTCGTTACAATCACAAACTAATGTTAGCTACAGTCTCAGTTCTGCCCTCCGACTGATGTGAAGGGATAAAATAATCTCCAGACACAGAAGATAGTTAGTTTGCATTTCCTTCCTTTCAGCTAAAGGCTGATCTTAAATGAGTGTACGTAAAGTCTTTAACTCAAGACTGAGGCTGTGTCTAGACTACACAGTTCTTCTGGAAAAAGATGCAAATTGTGAACTGCAATTCGTGTATCTTTTTCCACTTTTTTTTTTTTTGGAAAAGGCTTTTCCGGCATTTGGCCCATCTACACTGGGCCAAATGTCAGAAAAAAAAACCTTTTTTGGAACATCCCTTCTTCCTCGTAAAGCTAGGTTTACAGGGATGCTGAAAAAATGTGTCTGCGCTTCCAAAAAAATTTTTGGAAGAGCAGATGTGTTCCTTGGACACAGCAGAGTCTAAACTCTGCAATCTAGACGTACCCTGAGATAGCTTTCTAGAAGAGAGACTGTAATTCAGAAGGTGGGAGAAGGAGGCAGAAATTATTGAGTGAGGTTCTATGGCTTGTGTTACACACAGAGTCAGTCCAAGTGGTGCCTATTATTAGTTTGTGTTAGAGGAGCAGCCAGAAGCCCTAACAATGTTTGGAGTCTTTGTACAGCATCTAGCAGCAAAAAAAACATAGAAAGCAACAGCTGCTGCTACAGAAAACTCACAGTCCAACTAGATAAGGAGTTACCCCCATTTTACAGATGGAAAACCAAGATATAGTGAGTGTAAATGACTTGCCCATGTTCACACAGAGTCTGTGGGTGCAGCAGCGACAGAACCCAAAATACTGAGTCCAAGGATGCCAAATATTTAATTGGTTGCTAACCATGTTTATAAGATTGACAAGTTCTGGTCTGGCTAAGTGAAAGACAGGAGCTAACCAATCCAAACAATCACTCAGACACCACCAGATTTTTGTAAAGAACCTGGGATGAAGGTAGGGACAAGAGAAACTCACTAAACACACAGAATAGAGATAGAGATGCAGCCATGTTAGTCTGGTCTAGCTGAAACAAAAGACAGGACTATGCAGCACTTTAAAGACTAACAAGATGGTTTATTAGGTGTTGAGCTTTCGTGGGCCAGACCCACTTCCTCAGATCATCTGAGGAAGTGGGTCTGGCCCACGAAAGCTCAACACCTAATAAACCATCTTGTTAGTCTTTAAAGTGCTGCATAGTCCTGTCTTTTGTTTCACTAAACATATGGTTCTTTGAGTCTTTATATGGAAGAATCAACAGATGAGAATCTTCTAATTCAAATTTGTATGAGGAACATTGTGCAGCCAAAAGCTTAGCCATGTCAGGCTGTGTAAACAAACTTATCAGTCTGGCTCCTAATTTAGTAAGCTACAAAATAGGGGGAGTGTTTCTCCACAATTCCATCTGAAGGTTTGGAATCTTCCAACCCTCAAAGCAACATGACCACAGCCCCCTTGAGAATGAGTGAACTCCAAAGACCCTGCCTCAAGGCAAGTGGAAATCAACATAGCCTCCCCCTACCCCTCGCCCGAAGTTAACAGAACCAGGCCAAATTTCTAAATCAAAAGAGGCTCAAACTCAGTGTTTTAAAACAGCCTCAGCTTTGGAAATTCATCTGCCAGTGAGACAGTAACAAATTAGACCATTTGAGTAGCCACATCAACCTGTTAATGTTCTTTCAGGCATACACTAGGGCTGTGTCTAGACTGTGTCTAGACTGGCAAGTTTTTCCGCAAAATCATCTCCTTTTGCGGAAAAATTTGCCAGCAGTCTACACTGGCCGCTTGAATTTCCGCAAAAGCACTGATGATCTCATGTAAGATTGTCAGAGCTTTTTGAGGAAATACTAGGCTGCTCCCGTTCGGGCAAAAGTCTTTTTCCGAAAAACTTTTGCGCAAAAGGGCCAGTGTAGACAGAAGAGATTTGTTTTCCACAAAAAAGGGGTATTCCAGCCTGTGCCGAGGCCTGTGCACTATTTAAACCCTATTTTGAGGGCATAAGAGGTACTTAAGTGGTATATCGGCTGCCGAATAGGCTCTCTGCACTGAGGCAAATGCCACCTGCCTCACAGGTAGTGAAACGATGTCACGGGTGGTGAAACGATACGTGTATGGGGCTGCTGAGAGCCACTGAACCAAACGATAAACTCTGGAGATGATGGAAACCTCTTCAAGCCAGGGGGTGGGACAGCAGATGGCACTAAGCTACAGGGAGAGGTAGATATGCTGGAGGACAGGGATAGGTCCAGAGTGACCTAGACAGATTAGAGTATTGGGCCAAAAGAAATCTGATGAGGTTCAACAAGGACAAGTGTAGACTCCTGAACTTGGGACGGAAGAATCCCAAGCATAGTTACAGGCTGGGGACCGAATGGCTAAGTGGCAGTTCGGCAAAGGAGTAACGGTAGTTTGAGGAGTAACGGTAGTTCGAACTAGAGTAACGGTAGTTCAAATTAGCCTAATTTGAACTACCTACTCCGTGCCGCGTGTAGCCGCGGGCACGGAGTCCGAACTACCGGGGATTTAAAAATGACGGCGGCCGGCAAGATGCAAATGAAGCCCAGGATATTTAAATCCCGGGCTTCATTTGCAACTTTGATTGACTACATTAACCACCCTAGTTCGAACTAGGGTGGTAGTGTAGATATACCCCAAGACAGAAGGGGGAAGAGTAAGTGTAGCAAGGAGGGGGCGGAGGTAGTTGCGGGTAAGTTGTAGTAAAGGATGAAAAACAATGAATTCATTACAGGAGCGGAATAAAAGTGGGAATGGATACAGACTAGTAATAGAATTGTAAATCACAGATGAGGAACCTTTGTTCAGTCAGGGGCCATACACAAGCAAAAAATAGCCCCCCAAAAACCCACTACCCTTACCTGCTACCAAGTGAGAAGCAAGCACAGTAACAAACAAACAAAAAAACCCACCTCAGTCACACTCAACTTCCCACCGGGTAGCCAAGACTCAGGGCTTCTGGCTTGCAGCACAGAGACTTGCCATGGGCTGGATAAAATTAAGCAGAGGGGGGCGGATCCAGTCTACAGGCTAGAGGTTCCCCACCCGTACAATCAGCTGTGCCACATCCTTCTGCATGCACAAACCTTGCAAATATTTCCAGCACAGTTCCATACATTTTCCAAAAAATAAGGGCACGGACACGCACAAGTAGCAGCCTTCCAGTACCAAGATATAAAATGTCTGCTGAAGGTTAAACACTATGCTCCTCTTGACATGGACCCCTTGATACTTACAGACTTTGTCCTTCCTCAGAACTGATTGGTGAGAGGGCTGAAATAGAAAAATTCATTGCAGGCCTGATTCCAGTACACTTAGGGTATGTCTAGATTACATGGCTCTGGCGCCAGAGCCATGTAGATTAGTTTACTAGACATACCCAAATGAAGCAGTGATTTAAATAATCGCCGCTTCATTTAAATTAATAAGGTTGCCGCGCTGAGCCGATCAGCTGTTTGTCGGCTCAGTGCGCTAGTCTGAACACTCCGCGGTCGACATCAAAGACTGTTGACTTCCCCGTTATGCCTCGTGGGATAAAGTTTACTGGGGTGGTCAACAAATGTCTTTGATGTCGACCGCGGAGCATCCAGACTAGCGCGCTGAGCCGACAAACAGCTGATCAGCTCAGCGCAGCAGCCTTTTTAATTTAAATGAAGCGGTGATTATTTAAATCGCTGCTTCATTTGGGTATGTCTAGTAAACTAATCTACATGGCTCTGGCGACAGAGCCATGTAGTCTAGACATACCCTTAGTGTCTCTGTGGAGGACAGTACGAGCCCATGGAAGGAAGGGTACCAGCAACCTGCCCTGTGGCATGTTTCAGTGAATGCTGAGGGGACTTTTTAAAAATGTTTCTGCCCTGCTAGGAATTCCCAAAGCTCAAGAAGTTGGGAGCCTGTACGGAACCCGTAGTCAGTCTGAAGTGTGAGGAGAGCTCAAGTTTTGTCAGCCTGAAACAGACTCTGGGGGACCTGAAGGCTCAGCTTGTGATGGTTGGCCTCTGCTTCATCAATAAAATCCTCACAAAAGGTGAGTGAGCTTCTTCCACTGAGAGCTGAATGTTCCCCCTCCTCCCAAAAGGGATTCTCTGGGCGCTGCATCCTGAGATTCTGGTTCCTTGGGATGTGCTAGGAACGCCTCCTGTTTACTAATCTCCCAGCACCAAGTCCTGGCCTTGACACCGACATTTTTAGTAGCTGAAATGGGGAATAACCTGCCTTCACCAGGTTTTCAATGGGGAATTCTGTTTTGCCATTGACTATAGACCAGGATGGATATGGTTGTGACTCCAGAATATCTCTGTCTCTCCTGTCTAGGATGGTCACCATTTCCTCCCTTGAACTCCTCCCAGGCTATGTCTGGACTGCAGAGCTTTTCTGGGATACCGGAAAAGCTCTGCTGTGTCCAAGGAACGCAGCCGTTTTTTTCGGAACAGTTTTTTCTGGCATCCCTGTATTCCTCTCGGTGAGAGGAATAAGGGATGTTTTGAAAGAGGAGTTTTTTTCCGAAATTTGGCCTTTTATAGACGGGCCAAATTTCAAAAAAGCCTCTTTTGGGGGGAAAAAAGCAGAAAAAAGATACACAAATTGCGGTTCGCAATTTGCGGATCTTTTTCCGACTTTTCTCTGCAGTGTAGACATAGCCCCCCTCTCAGGAATGGCTCTGAATTTATATCTGGCTGGTCTAGACCATAGGTCAGGTTGGCTCCCTCAATTCTGCTTTGCAGAGTATCAGGGCTGGCCCACAACATTTTGGCACCTGAGGCGGGGAGCTCAAATGATGCCCCCATGCTCCTTTTTCTCCTGCCTGCCTGTTATGTCTCTTGTGCCCTGCTTCCTTCAGCACTGCACTCCACCATCTCTGCATCTAGAGCAGAGAGAATACATCTGCACCAGCAGCAGACACAATTTTCTACATTCTGGGTCCTAGTGGCCCCCCCCCCCCCCCCCCCAGTCTGGGCAGCTGAGGCAGCCGCCTCAGTTCACCTCATGGTAAGGCCAGCCCTGCAGAGCATTCAGAGATGGTAGCTACTGGGCCTCTAGCAGCACCAGCCTTCTATTGGGAGTCCGAGTGGAGACTCTTTATGGCAGTCATTATAGTCTCTTGAATTGCTTGGCTACCAAGTCACCCACTGGCGTTGAACAGCTCTGTTGCCCATCATTCCATGTGTCCGATTTCAGAGGTACTAACCTCCCATTTCCATTATGGGCCTTTTCTGAAGAGACTCCAGGCCTGAGAAGTCTCATCCCTTGGCTCTATATGGAATCCCCATCTTGGTCTCCCGCAGCTCACTTTCCTATTTAGTACTCATGCTTCTGCCTGCAGAATGTGCTGTCCACATCTACCCATTAACTTCTATATCCGTGGTCCCCAACCCGGTGC